TATTTGTTTCAGAGGTACAGGTCTGTGATTCAGCAGTCTTACACAATTCACAGCGCTCACCATAGCACATACCCTCCCCAATGTCTATCACCCAGCCACGATTTTGAGTTAGTTCTTGTGTAAGGCGTGAGATCTGTATCTAGGTTCATTTCTTTGCATATGGATTTCCAATTGCTTCAGCCCGATTTGTTCAAAAAACTTTCCTGTCGCCATTGAATTGAATTTTCCTCTGTCAAAAATTAGTTGATTACATTTGTGTAGGTCTATATTTTTTGGGGGGAGGTGTCTGTTCTGTTTCATTGATACTATTTATCTATTCCTTCCCCAGTACCATACTGTCTTCATTACTGTATTCTCTTAGGAAGTCTTGAAGTTAGGTAGTTTCTTTAGAATTTTATTTGATATTTAACAAGAGTGGCCATCAATTTTACCATGTAAATCACCTAACCCATACTAAGTACTCAATAAAGAGAAGTGATTCTTATGGTTTAATAGTGATAAAGTATTCATCATCCAGCCTTATCCAAAATTTTATCTAGGCCTTTACATTAATCATAATAATAAAAATAATACCTAAAATGCAGTAAACACTTATGATGGACCAGGTGCTAAATCAAGGGCTTTATGTGTATTAAGTAATTAATCACCAAAACAACCCTAAGAGACAATATTACTCTCCACATTTTAGAAATAAATAAAATCAGATACAGAGAGCTTAGAACACTTTTCCAAAGTCAGAGTTTGTAAATGGTGGAGTTAGGGTTTGAATCCAAATACATATGAACTCTAGAATTCATGCTCTTATTCACTATATTCTCCTAACAAAGGTTAGGAAAAATATCAGGAAAATAATACCCCAAACACCATATCCAGACTGTTATACATTTTCAATAATACTACATCTTTATGGCCACATGAATTTCCCATTTTCTAGGATGACTCAAAATACTTCTGTGTAAATTCTGTGGTTTAAGAGTCACTAACTGTTGCCATCCTTGGCTTCTAAAAAATTACTCTACACCCTGACCTAAAATTAATTTAAAATACTCTTGGGAAAATATGTTAAGTATGAGTGACCAGCAGGATGACTAAGATATTAAAGTGTCTCTTATTGTAGAATGTGACCAAAAAGAACTATTAGGCATGTAGACCTAGACATGCCTTTGACATATATCTGTCCCTTGACTCTTTTGCACACTGGGTTTTCATGCTATTTCAAGAATACCTAACTCTCTCAAAGCAGTTTCCCAACTGCTGAAGATCATGTTCTATTCTGGATCTTTTCCAGCCACAGCAAAACTTATCACATCAACACATACCCCCGTCAATCAAATGTTCCCTGTATTTATTAAACAGCTCTGATGGGTTTACAAAAAACACAGACTATGGGTCTTCACGCTTGGGGGTTATAATCAGGTATATCTTAACTATGGAAATCTGGAGAAAAGGTCTTCACCCAGAGGGGTGATTTTAATGACCCTGAGTTTAGAAGTGATAACAGTCCTCTAACACAGAGAAGGTACTTACTAGGTAGGTAGCATCACTATTATATACATGTAAGAATACCCTTGTATTTTTTTCCTATCTGCTTTTTCCCAAACTGTTCTAGATTTTTTAAAATTGTGTTTCTTACCCTGCATCTGAGCCATTTCCACAGAGTAGAGGGTCCTTTTGTCCATCCAAAACATAAAAGTGACCTGTTAATATAAAGAATAAACTATTTCATTTCATATCTATCCTACTGACATTGGGAATAAATGAGAGTTTGACTGTCTCAGTTACTTCCAAAGTGAACACAATGAGGTATATTTACAAAAATGGTTTCAAGCCCACAGCCTCAACTATTTATAGTTGAAAATTCAGCAACACTAAGGTTAACAATGTAGCAATATTTCTTACTGTCGTCTTCAATATAATCCTTCCAGTTAAATGTACTCATTGTTACATTAACAAATATCCCATTTGAATCCATTGTGCCATTAAAGTAGGATGTGGTGTTGGTTTCAAAAGCAGAATCGCTTGGGGGCCATTGCAAGCATTTATTCCGCAGGTTGCCCATGAACAGCTGCAGACCAATTAGAGCAAACACGCTCAGACAGAACACAGTCAAGATCATGACATCAGAAAGCTTCTTCACGGACTGGATTAGGGCCCCTACAATGGTCTTTAAACCTGAGGAGAGACAGCAATAGGTCATCCAAGGATGAGTGTCATAATCCGTAATGTCTTCTTAGTCACACACATTCTCTTTTCCCATAAATGGTTGCCTGGCTATTTAGACACAAAGCTTTATGGATAGCCAGATGGTTTGGGAAATGGATGAAAAGCAGATTTTATTTATGAATAGTATGCTTTCTGGAGGTTTAAAATGAAAGTGTAAATATCTAGGCAGGAAGCTTTTTTTGTGTGTGGTTTTATGTGTTGTCATGAACATCTAAAGAAGAACTTGCAGTTATTTTTCATTTCAGATTGTGTTTCATGAGGCATCTCCCTCCAACCCATTCTTTACACCAGCCTCTAAGTAGCAATAATTCAGAGGAGAAAAGAATTTTAAAATATTAAATATCCTATGCCATGCTGTTCAAGAATAATCTTTTCTCCTTTATAAAAGGAGATCTATTTTCATAATAGATCTGCAGTGAATGGGAAACCCAAGTAAGTTAGTAAAGGCATGGTAGTAAAGCTTTTTCCAGATTGTAAAAGAGAAGACTTTACATCATAAATGCAAAAAGAGAGAGAAAGCATGAGAGAGAGAGTGCACACACGTGCACAAAACTAGTATTTTTATAGACAACTCATGCAATTCTCTGTTAAACTCAAAGGCTGACTTTATAAATAAGCATGTAATTTCTAAACTTTTAGGAACTGAACTGCTTTGAAACATCATTTGGCATTCTTGAAGTTGACAAACAAGAATAATAAACAACAAGTCTAATGACCTAAGTGTGATTTCAACCTAAATATTATTACAGTGTATTTAAATTCAGCCCCAGTGTTTAACCTAGCTCTCACCTGGAATGACTGAAATTGTTTTCAGTGCTCGGAGAACTCTGAATGTTCTCAGCGCTGAGACATTGCCCAGGTCCACAAACTCTGTCACGTATCTGTAATAGGGAGTTCACACACAACACAATAATACACAAGAAAAGTTGGAGATACAAGGAGCCTATCATCTTACACCAGTTTCTTACCTGGAATTACAGAAATAGTTTTCAGAGCTCTCAAGACTCTGAAAATTCGAAGGGCTGAAACATTGCCTAGGCTTACAAATTCTGTTACATACCTGTAGAATTAAATCAGAGTTACTGATAGTTTTGGCAAAGTTTATACTAAATAAAGAATGAAAGTTGGGTTTGGCGTATAGAGCCCCTTGAGTTTAACAAATGGAATTGCTACAGACCTCAGGATGCCATATGTTGAAAACTGCTTTTAAGGAATAAAATTTTGTTGCCTTATTTCAATGTAATTTTCACTAATATGAACAAGGTTGTAAGAAATCAAAGTACAGTTGGAGGTATTATGCTCGATGAATAACTTCATTTTGATGAAATGGAAGGCTATATGACATGAGAGTAATTGTTTAGTGCTCACTTACCAGATAGATTTACCTTACTATATGTATTGTAATGTGTATTCTCAAAATATATGAGACATATGGTTAATTTGGCTAATAAGCAAACTCTGCATTTAAAATATGTCACAACCACCTGGTTTGTGCTACAACTATTTTCATTCCTTTGAGCTTAACAACTTTTCAAAAATACTCACGCCATCACAATGACACTGAAATCCAGCCAGTTCCATGGATCACGAAGGAATGTAAAATCTTCTAAGCAAAACCCTCTTGCCAAGATTTTTATAAGTGACTCAAAGGTGTAGATTCCAGTGAATGTGTACCTAGGAAAAGCATCCAAATAAAAATTAACATTTTCGTTTGAGCTGTTAATATACATAGTTTCATATATGGCAAATCTTATCCTTCTGTGGTTTTTTAATTTGCTAAAATCTTATTTCATATTTCCATTTACAAAGACTTGACTAGTCTAATTAATCTTATAAGCCTAAATAAAGGGTTAAACTGAAAAGATAGTATCTTCCCCAAAGAATCTGATCTTGTTTAACTATTTAGACTTTAGAGTAATAGTTTCATGTGTTTTATGGATAATGATCAAGCTTGACCCTCTAGAGCAACACTGTTTGATTAAAATATAATACAAGCTAAATATGCAGTTTTCAAATTTTCAGTAGCCAAATAAAAAATGGAAAACAAGTTAATTTAATTTTCACATTATATTTTATTTAAACCAATGTATCGAAAATATTATTTCAACAACTAAGACTAGCCAAATTTCAGGTTTCACATGTGGCTAGTGTCTCCCTTATTAGACAATATAGCTCTAGAGGTAAAATTTCTTGGATTTATTTATTTATAATAAAATATTTCATTCAAATTTATTAATGATTAGAATTATTTTTAGGAATATTTCCCATGTCTAATCTAGAAAATATGCTTCCCCTTTTTATCTTTAAGAATCAGGCATAGAGTTTTAAAACTGCTTATCTCATATATATCTACACAAGAAAAATTATAATTTATTAGTATTTTATGTGTGTGCATTCACACAATTACCAAAACTCAGAGCGAAACCAAATTTCTGATTCTTACCTGCATCAGCTACCATTTCTGTACAATTGAGCCAAATCATTTAAACATGCTTACATTCAAGTTTCAACCTCCAAAATGGTGAAAAGCTTTTCCATTTACTTTTTGATATATAGTGCATTTCTAGCCCTCTCTCCTTTGAGTGTTGACAATATTATTTCTGTTTCTTCCAAAAATAGTTGAGAAAGAGTACTTGTTTTTCAACATTGTGTTCTTTTAAAAAGTGCAATTTAAGATTATCCTTCAGATTATTTCACCCAGGCCACAAAGATTTGATTTACTCATATTAAAATTAATTATATTTCCCACCTACTAGTATTTTATATGTGAATAAAGTTAGGAGAGTTATTTCTGCATTGTTTTCTGCAGAAATTTCTCTCATATGAGGGAACAAAGAAATAAGAAAATCTATGCAGCAATCTTCACATCAAGTTCTCGGCCTTTTGGCTAAGATCAAGTGAAGTTTTCCTAAGAACATTCCTCCTCCTTTTTAAAATAATTCAGTTGATTTTTTGAGAAATATAATTGCTATCTTTACTTATTATGAAGTAGCTGACCTCTTTAGGAAAAGATATAATTTACAATGCCAAGCTTTATTTACTTGTGTTTTAGTGTGGACCTTTGCACATTACACATAATCACCATGACATTTCTGTTCGGAGCTAGCTACCTTGTGAAAAGCCATAAGAGACAGCTCAATGTACGTTTTATTTATCACATTAATGGTTAATTCCCTATGGTCTATGCTTAGGCAATTCTGAGTTAGCTAAGATTAAAGTCCCTACTCCTATCCCTGTTTTTGTTGATAGCTATCCAAGGAAGAGTGTCCTGGAGCTTAACATGTGAGACAGAGCTTTGCCCAGGACAGGTGTTCAGAAGTGCCTATTAGCAAACTAGATTGAACAGGTAAGTGAGAATCAAGGGGAACTTGATCTTTCTTAGCTCTGCCCCACTAGGCCCCTAATCATACTTTTGATTCTGTCCATGTCACCCACGTTTTTTTTCCTATAATTATGATGTCTATAGATCTGCCTGCCTTTCATAATATGACCCTCATTATACCATATGGTCCTCAGCCTATTCTGTGCATATCACCTCTTTGTACCAAGACTGTTTATGCTATCAATGACCTGTTTTCATGTCAGAACTGAATTCTTTTTTCTTTGCACTCTTGTTTATTTGGTTTGGGTTGTTGGCTGTAACCACTAATTTTGCTTGTTTTCCTGCCACTTTGCTGTCAAGTGATAAATGATCCTGATAAATGATCGGGAAACCTGTGCAAAGTTTTCCCACTGAATGAAGTCAAAAACCTTTTGTAGGGGTAAGAACATTTTCATAATGGATGTAGTTATCTCTAAAAATGACTTTAAAAAGAGAGACCTGCTGGGGGGGCCTGGGTGGCTCAGTTAAGCATCCATCTCTTGATTTCGGCTCAGGCCATGATCTCAGTATCGTGAGATTAAGCCCCACGTTGGGCTTTGTGCTGGATGTGGAGCCTGCTTAAGATTCTCTCTTCTTTGCCCACCCCCCCAACTCTCTCTCTCTCTATCTCTAAGAAAGGAGAGAGACCTGCATATTCAAGTAATAATATGCAAACGTCCTCTTTACCTATCTTTTAATAATGTTATACAAATGATATTTGTATATGGTTAAATGCTGCAGTAATTTCTTCTAGGAAGAGTACATATAGAATGGTTTTATATGTCAATTTGTTAATCCACAAATCATAAATGATAACTAAGAATTCTGTTAAATTGCTTGCCTCAACATAAGAACTAGATTCTCTACTAAAATGATTTCTAAGGAGCATTTCCCAGCTACTATAAAAAAAAAATCTTTAATGTGTTAAACTGACAAATGATGGCTTAGGATAGTGCATTAAATCCTCATAGAAGCCTATAAAAACAGAAATAGAAGTGGCAATATTTGTCATAACTTATCTCCTATTGGATATTACTTTTAAAAAATATGACAATAAAAAGAACATACTAGAAACTTTTTTTTCAGTAAACTTTATCATTGTATTATACAATACATAAATAGCTTACATAACCTAAACACCTTCTGTTTCACTAAGTAGTTTCTTTGTCATGAATAACCATATGTGACTGATAACTTAAGGAATAGTGTTGTTATAATGCAGAAATTATGTTACTTAATGCAAAAATTTCCCCAGAACATTAATGTTTTGAATCAATTAGTGGCATCTTTTTCCTCACGCTTAAGTAAAACATTCTTAGCGTTAAAGGAAGACCTTAGTGATAATGAAGAGAATTGACATATAAGAGCCTTTTTTAGTGGAAGCAGGAGCTAGTTTAACATGCCCAAGAACTATTGTGCTTAGACTGTTTCCTTTGTATTAAAATAATAAATAAGTGTATTATTTTGATGACATGATAGAAATGTCCCCAGGTCTTCATCTTAAGCGAGAAAGGACAAGCAAGGCCTGGAGTCTGAGACTCCAAAGGAGTCTCTGGCTGTGATTTTAGGTACAAATGTCTGTAGAGCTTTAACTAGGCCAGTATCTTTTTATTGGGATTGTTACGGTTTTTATTAGTGTTCTGATTACAAAGTTTCATACGTTTTGAGTGATCTGCTCTTAATCATGTTTTCCCCTTAAGCCCTGTTATTTTTTGAGCTATGATTTTGTAGAGAGGTTTTATTTCTTTTACAGAACACATCTGTTGTGTTTTAGCACACATGCTGTGTCTAAATAAACTACATATCTAAATATAACTAAATATCTAAGTTACTTAAACACCTAAATGTGTTTTCCTGAATATAATGATATAACATATAACCAAAATACCTAATATAATAATATTGTGCTAAACACCTAAATCTGTTTTATGAGAATATAACAATAATGGTAATATACTAGAATAAAATAATTTTATTCATCACATTACTCAAATGGTCATTGCTTTTTTGTTTTTTTTTTAAGATTTATTTATTTATTTGAGAGAGAGAGAATCCTCAAGCAGACTTCTTGCTGAGCTCAGAGCATAGGCTCCCTGAGATCATGACCTGAGACGAAGTCAAGAGCCAGGTGCTTAACCAACTAAGCCACCCAGGTGCACAAAATGGTCATTGTTTTTTTTTTTATCTAAAATGCATAACTATGATTGAATCTTAACTTTTATGCTAAATGATTGGTTTAGTTTACCAGCTAGTGTATATACTATTTATAACCTTTCTTAAACAGATACTATCATGAATTTGTTGGAAAGAATACTTACCTCATAGAAGAGAAACTCCCCCAAAGAACTTCCCTTATCTTCTTTCATGTTATGGAAATAACTTTTTCTTAGAAGTTTTTAGCCTGACTCCAAAAAGTATAAAACTTGTCAGACCATAACCATAAGGCGATTGCTAGAGAATTTGAGTGTGCATTTCTCATTCAAAGAAGTCATTCCTACTTACTCTACATTCTTCGTCCAGTCTGGAGGGTTACTCAAGGTCATAAATACGCAGTTGGTCAAAATAGTGCACATGATAAGCATGCTGAATAAAGTAGATTATAGTTAAGGAATAAATGCTAGTATATTATCATGGCCATTTACAAACAATCCAATGCCAAAAAATAATAATAATAATAATCAAAGTTACCTGTGAAATTTGTCTTACTTACTTGTTTTAAAACAATGGGAAAAGTAATAAGAAACTTCAAAGCCTGTCATATGTTCTTGGTCTGCTCTTTTTCATTTTACATGAAATGTAAAATTTCACAGAACTGAATTTAATGGAAAGGGATCTCTATTTTAAGCAGTGGGAATTTTGCATTCCAATCAGTTATGTGAAATAACACTGCAAGGGGAAATGACCATTCTTTAGTAAGTTCACAATATAAGTGTAAATTGTAAAAAATATAAATGTAATTATATCTGAAGTTGTACTTCAGATATGATTTAAAATCAGCATTGGCTGACAAAACGTTAATGAATACAATTTAAAAACCCTGAGAATGTATACCCCAGTATATTTAAGGATTACATTGACTGAGAATTCTACTGTAATTAGGTACTCTTAATAGTCTTATTGTGATGTGACTCATTCTTTTAGTGTTGATAAAAGAAGAGTAAAGGGAGAGAGAATTTTTTGCTGATAAGTTAATATTGTTTTCTAACTTTTTATTTTTACTTTAGACTGTGGGGGAACTTAGTGGGCCATCTAGATATCCTTCTGTACCTAGTCCACACCATACCTAACATATAAATGCTATTTTGTAAACTTCCTGAGAATTTGCCGTAATTAAGTTCTCTTAGGATCTCAATCAGACTTCATTCTAAGGAAGATTATGATTATTTTGGGGTGAATCTTTTATTTAAAATTATAAATGTTTGCTAATATCAAACCATAGAATGAAAAGAATTCAAATGAACCTCAAAAAGTTCAGTGCTATTTGCTGTATCTCTAGATTAACCAGTCTTTTTTCTCTCTTTTAGTTTTTATAAGGCTTTAAAAAAAATTTTTTTATTGTTATGTTAATCACCATACATTACATCATAAGTTTTTGATGTAGTGTTTCATGATTCATTGTGCATAACACCCAGTGCTCCATGCAGAACGTGCCCTCTTTAATACCCCTCACCAGGCTAACCCATCCTCCCACCCCCCTCCCCTCTAGA